GGCTGTGACATTAGCAACCCGGAAGGGCAGTGAGCCACTGTGTCACAGGGCTGGCAAAAGCAACCCTTTTCCATGCGTATATTTTCCAAATCATCATATATTTCAGCTAGTGTCACGACAGATTGCTCACTCTCTGACCCATTGGCTTTAAATAGCAAAAGAAAAAAAAAAAAAAAAAACAATGCACTTTGTGGTTCCCAGTAAGATACCGTAAATACACCCAGATAACATCCCGGTGCGAGCCATTCACTGGGCCGCACGGGGCGGTGGAATGGAATCTTTTGGGCAGCTTGCACATCAGTTTATTTCCTCTCTACCCTCCCGGGCCATTATGGAGCGGGAAGGCTGGCAGGGCGTCAGTTGCGCCCCATTTTCATCTCGGTGATAACGCCATTCTCTAGGGCACCCCGTTAGGGCTTTGGCGCCTCACGCAGAGGCTGCGCTTCGTCTTCATGGTAACTTGGCGGCGTGCTCCAGGTGGGTCCCATCTCACAGATGGGGGCGCTGAGACGCTGGGAGCGCTGGTTCAAGGTCCCTCACCTGGACAAGGAGCAGAGGAGGCAGACGAGACAACTCCCTTTCCTCTGAGCTCTGAGCTGGGGCCACCTGGCCTCTGACTGGAAAATTTACCTGGAGACGTGGTGGTTTTCGAGTTAAGGACAAGGTGAAGGGGTGAGGGCAGCCAGGAGACCAGGGCTTCTGATCACCCCGCTGAGTCAGTGGTGACCTTGGGGCAGTGGCTCAGCTCCATGAGCGACTTGGGGCTTACGGCTGTGACGCTAATTCCAGTAGGACCGCAGTTGCCCCGGACCCCTGACATTAATTCCTCCACCAGCCCCACCATTACCAGGCCATGGACATGTTGTCCCTCTGCCTAAAGCCCTCTCTCCCGGCAAGTCAGCCTCATGGCTAGTTCCTCCTCCATCAAAGTGTAGCTGGGGGTCCCCAGGAAAAGGGGAAGTTCCAGGTTCCCTGCCCACCAGGAGGAGGGTGGAGCTGAGCAGGGTGAAGAATCTGGAGAGGAGCCTGGAGAGGATGGAAGCAGGATGGGGAGCCCAGAGGAGGCCTGGGGAGCCACGTGGAGCAGAGACATGTGAAGCCTTCTCTTGCTTCTTGGCCCTGGCCTGGGTGATACAGACGTTGGTGAGACTCGTGGGGAGGTTGACTGTGGCAGCGTTTATCTTGACTTTGATTTTGATGTTGCTCTTTTCTTCCCAGACTTGTCTGACCATGTCTGACCCTTTTCTGTGTCCCTCTGGAAGATGCTTCAGGCTTGTGGTGGCCTTTCTGGCCTTGCTCTGGGCCTGTCCCCTTTGAGTGGGCCTTTACCCATGAGGGGATGGGCCACGCTGGGTTTCTGATTTAGAAACTATATTCTCTGTCTTTTCTCTATTGCACGCTGGTTGTATTAAAGACCTTTTCCATGAAAGGCCTTTATGTTTTGTGCTGAGTGGCAGTGCCTATTTCGAGCAGGCGGGTGTGAGGTTTCAAGGGTGTCCCTCTCCCTGCCCTGTGACACAAGGCCACCGCCCCAGACGCTCCTGTTCTCGTCACTGCCTGTTCTGTCCCAGCCCTCCGCTGCCATGAGTGACGTGATGCAGTACCTGCCCTCCTCCCGTGGAGACAAGGCCTTGTCGGGCTGCGCCTCCCCCAGCTCGGCGCCTGGCTCGCAGCGGATGCTTAGGAAACACCGTTCAGTCAAGGAGCAGGGCACAAGCCTTGGTCAGGAGAGCCAAGGGGAGGCAGGGGTCGGGGGAGTTTCCTCCTTTGCTGTGGCAGAAGAGCGCGGGGATGGCCAGGGCAGAGAGCAGGCGGGCTGTTCCTGGAAAGCACGGGTCAGCGCTGGGCACGCCCAGTGCCCGCTGTCCTCCAGCCCCACGTGGGAGAGCCAGGAGTGTGTCTGGGCCAGGGGATCGTGGCCCCAAGGCAGGAGAGGACTCAGGAGTCTCCCGGAAGCCGGCTGACAGGGTTTGTTGGAATCAGTGGCAGGTTTCATCACCTCTCTGGGCCTCGGTTTCCACATCTGCGAAATGAAGCGAATGACCACCTCCGCTGCAGGCTTGGTGCCAGGAACGAGTGAGTTGATCTTCACCGGGCCCGGAGAACAGGGCCTGGCAAGGTGCACGCTCTGCTTGCTCAGAGCTGTGTGCCGTGGAGCGTACCGTCTCCTACACAGACCTCGGGGCCCCTTGCAGAGACCTCCGAGGCAAGTGAGATGGCATCCAGGAAATCGCACGGCTGGAGGGGCTCTCTCAGGCGGAGAGACGGGCCCTTCTGGAAGCTCTGGGCATGGTCAGGGTCCAGGGGCTCTTCGGGAATGGTGGACTTGGCGTCCTGGCCGTGTCTGAGCAAGTGGCCCCTCCGCGTCGGTTTCCCCGCTGCTGTTTAGGAGTCGTCCTAGACTGGGTGGGCGGCTGCTAACATGCCTCTCGCCCCGAGAAAGGTTTTAAGTCTCCAGCCCCTCTCTCTGCCTTCGTCCTGCCATCAGCCCTGTCCTCAGCCTGGCAAGACAGCTCATCTGCTTCCAGTGGGTCTTTCACGGGTTCATGGTTAGGTTGTAGTTGATAACCACTGCATGGCACCTCGAGGCATTCTGACGTGGTAGGTGCCGTAGGAGCCTCTCTCAGCCATGACCTGTGAGGTGCAGCGAGGACCCAGGCAAGGGGGTTGGGTGGGGCTGGGGAGCGACACGGCCAGCTTGGGCCCGCTATTCCAGCTCCGACTGGTAACCGGGCGGATGGCCTCAGTGAATCACTTTACCCCTCAGAGCCTCAGTTTCCTCATCCTTAAAATGTACCGAATGGTGTCTGTCCGTAAGGCTGTTGTGCAACACCATGCTGACAGCCGAGCGTGGGGCAGGCGCCCACGAGTGCGGCCTTCTCCCCCCAAACACACCCCCCAGAAGCGAAGCACCAGGCCCCACGCCTCTGGCCCACTCTGCTGACACCCTGTGTCAGGCCCGCACCTGCCTGCTGGAGCCCACCTGCAGCTCAGGTGAGCGTGTCCGAGGAAGACCTGGGCAGCCTTTCCACAGCACCCAGCGAGGAGCCTGGCAAGCCCCGTAGTCCCCCAAGGGCACGTGGCTGCCGGCCACTGCTTGGAACTTTCCTTCATCCGCTCAGTTACTTTTTGGCAGGTGTTTATGGTGCACCTAGTGTGTGCAGGCCCTGGACACCGCGGGAGCAGGACAGTGTTTGCTTTCTAGGAAACTATGCTCCGAGGCCAGTGGGGGTGGTAGGTGTGGTGTTCGGAACACACAATAAACAAATGAGTCTGAAATGTCAGGAGAGCTGAGCAGAAAACTCAAGTGGCGAGTTTCCCCTGGCACGTCCCGCAGCTGCTCTCTCCCGCCTCGGGGGTGGGTGTGTGGGGGGGGTAGTTTGGTGTCACGGCTCAAGACAGAAGCCATGGTCCTGCTGTTGTGTGGTGTCGCGGGTCTGACCCTCCCGTCTGCACCGCCCTGCACTGCTCAGGGCCCGGAGAGCCCCAGGGCCTGGGCTCCGTCCTCTCCTGGGTGGTAGAGCTGCTGCGCAAAACATGACCACTGGGTAGGCACTGGCTTGGCGGCCCTCCCCACCCCGCCCTCCGCCCAGGGAGGAGCCTTCCAGAAGGGCGAGTCCCAGATGACTGGCCAGATGCCTGGGCATCTTCCGCCATTTGCATACCCCATTCTTGGTCTAATAGAGGGCACACGGTTTCCTTTCCGCTGCTGGGCTTGTGCGTGCTGCCCCATGCACGTGGTGGTCCCCCCCGGGGACAGTTCTGGGCTGCAGGGGGAGTCCAGAGGTCACGTCTACAGCTCAGCTCTATTGCCCACTGCTTGGGTGGCCTGGGCGAGCCAGGCCTTTCTCCCGGCCTCAAGATCTTCATCTGTAAATGAAGATAAGTGGAGACCCCTACTCCATACCTGGCCTGGACTCGGGGACCTCTTCCTCCAGGGTGCTGGAGAAACCCCACCCCCCGGCTCTGAGAGCCGCCCTGCTTTGAGCTCGTGCGGTTGGCACCACAGGGCTCCCCACAGGGCGCTTGGCTCGTTCTCAGCCTGCACAGGACTCTGCTCTCAACTCCAGTTTGAGGCCCAGAGAAGCTCAAGGGCTGGTGGCAGCACTCCAGACGCCAGCGACCCAGTGCCCTCCCACTGCCGCTAAAAGCCCCAGAACCATCCTGCAGGGCCCCTGCAGATCCCTTTGGATGGTTCCCAGCCTCCCAGCGAGACCAGTGCCAACATCTGGGAAGACCTGTGGGATAGCCGTGCCTCAGCGCCTCTGAGCTCCCCATCAAACCTTCTTGATGCTGCCCTGCCCCTGCCCCCTGGCATGGACCGTCTCCCTACCGCTACCCCGCCCCTGGGCATGGACCATCTCCGCGTCTCTCCCCTGCCCCTGGGCACAGACTGTCTCCCCTCCTGTCTCCTGCCCCTGCCTTCCAGGTCAGAGGGAGGACACATATACCTCAGGTCTCCCCTTCTCTGGAAATGCTCAGAGTGCAGTGAGGGGGCTACAGAGGGGTAGAGGTGGACCCCTAAAATAGCAGGCGACGCCCAGCGGTAACAGCTGGGCAGCAAGAGCTCGGTGTCCGGCAGCTGCCCCAAGTTGGGTTTGGAGCTGCAAAGAGCTTCAGAGGACAGACCCCCGGTGTTCCTGCTGCGCCCCACGCAGGGACGAGGAGGCCGAGACACAGGGAGGCGTGGCCGGCTGCAGGTCCCTGGGATTGGGGCCCCAGCTCTGGCTTGGGGACTGTGCCCACGGCCGGGCTTCAGGAAATGCCGTGGGCCCTGTGCAGGTGCAGGCCCCTCCGGCGCTGGGCGTGGCAACAGAGGGGCCCCCCATCCGGCTTTCCCCTGCCCAGCTGACTCCCCCACGGGAGGAACGCCGGGCGTGCCGTGGGGCGCTCAGGCGGCGGCACCCCACGGCAGGCAGGGATGGGCGCTGTGAGCTCGGCCTCGCTTCGGGAAGGCGCCCCGGGCCTGACCCCTCTCGTCTCTGCTCTCCTCCCCGCAGGGAGCCGGGAGGCGGCCTTCACGTACGCCATCATTGCTGCGGGCGTGGCCCACGCCATCACGGCTGCCTGCACCCAGGGCAGCCTGGGCGACTGCGGCTGTGACAAGGAGAAGCAAGGCCAGTACCACCGGGACGAGGGCTGGAAGTGGGGTGGCTGCTCTGCCGACATCCGCTACGGCATCGGCTTCGCCAAGGTCTTTGTGGATGCCCGGGAGATCAAGCAGAATGCCCGCACTCTCATGAACTTACACAATAACGAGGCGGGCCGCAAGGTAGGCAGCCAGGGAGGCGCCGGGCTCCGGCGGTGGCACCGCCCACTGGCTCGCCGGACGGTGGGCGCTGGCGTGCAGGGGCCAGCCAGGGGCTCTCCTGTCGCCTTGCCCTGCCCGGCTCTGGTCGCACTGCTGTCGGCCAGCGCGCGAGACGGAGACACCAGGCTCTGTCCACGGCCGGGGCGAGCGAGGGGTGTGGACTCCTGGAGCCCCCAGAGTCAGCCGGGAGACCGGTGTGGGGAGACGCTGCGGTGGACTCAGGGGGTCGACCTCGTGGGAAGGCCGCCAGCGCGGCCCACATGTCCGCAGTCACCGGCCCGGGATCCGGAGCTCAGAGTGCAGGAGGCGACAGCACCCCCTTTCACTGCCTCCTTAGCTCCTCCCGGATTCTGGGCGCAGTTCAGAAAGTCAGGGACGCCCCCAGGATGTCTCTGTGGAGGCGGCTGGGACAGGGAGGGTCTGGCTCCCCCATTCCAGGAGGCTTTGGCTGTCGTAGGGAGCAGATGGCTCTGCAGGTCCAGAGAACAGGGTGAGGGCCGGGGGTCGGGTGCTGATCCCAGAAGCAGGCCCGTCAGCACAGGGCCGGCCACGCCACAGGGACACACGCTGCCAGGAGAGCGAGAGCGACTGCCCATCCCGGAAGGACTTAAGCAGAGGCGCTGGCCCAGGCGCGAGGCCACCCGAATGAGTGCTGCCTGACCCCGGCCTGCAGCCCAAGGCTGGGAGTGGGCCCTGGGAAGGTGCCCCCAGCCCACCCAGCGGCCGGCGCCTGGGGCATCAGAGGGCACTGAGGGGCTCTGGCGCCCGGCGGGAGGTCAGAGGCCTTCGTGTCACGGACGTGCGGGCGCCTCTGGGTGTGGGTGATCGGCTGGGCGCACGGGTCCCTCCCTGCCCAAATGTCGGCAGCCGGCAGCCCTCCGGCCTTGACCACTGTGCTCACGGCCCCCTCACGGGCCGCACAGCCCCGCGGGACAGGCGAGGACATGGGCGCGCAGAGCGGCCGGCGAGAGGCGGAGCCAGACGCCGGCCCAGCGCCCGCCTCTGCCAGCGAGCTGGCGTCTCTGCACCCCACAGGCTCCTGCGCTCAGCTGCCGCGGGCTGCCTGGTTCCGATCCAGGCTGTCACTCACCCCGTCCCAGGAAGGAAGCGGAGTTGGCAGACTGTACTCAGCGCCGGGGTCAGGAGGGAAAGACGAGGCAGGAGCGAAGGCACCCCAGGGCCTGGCACGCAGCTGGCCCTCCACACGGCGGGACGGCTACCGGGCAGGCAGACACGGTCACCGGGGGGGCGGCTGGCTGGTGAGTGGTGTTGGGGTGGCTGCACACCGCGGAGGGGAGCGAGGCCCCCTCAGTGCAGGCAGATGGAGGGGTCCAGCTTTGTGGGGCTCCCCGCCTCCTGCCTCCTCTCCAGCCTCCTCCACATCCTGGAGCAGAGCCTTCCGGGCCGCCAGTGAGTCACACAGGCAGAGGCAGGGCCGCTCACCTGGCCTGCCCCAGGAGCGTGTCCTGGGGTGAGAGGCAAGGCCCTGCCTGTCCAGTCCTGTGGCTGGGAGCATGTGCCTGGGGCCAGCGCCCTCCTGGCTTCCCTGCCGTCATTCCTCCTGTCTCTGCGTCAGACCCCTCCTGAGGGCAGAGGCCATGGGTCACAGGCTGCCCCTGCCCGTGGCTCTCAACCCCTGCAGGGAGCCTCCAGCCTCAGTTTCCTGCTGTATGGCCACCAACTGTATGGTTGGGGCACTGTAAGAATGCAAGGTAAGCGATCTAGTCTGGGGGGCAGCGTCTGTCCAGCGGGGAGGGGCTGATGAGTCCAGGCAGCTCCAGGGGGACGCAGACCTGGGGCTGTGGGCCCTCCGGCCAGCCTCAGCAGGCTTCGCGGAGGGAGGGCTCACTGCAGAGGACGGGTGAAAGGCAGCCCAGCCGCCTGGTGTGAGGAGCGGGGCCAGAGGCCCGGAGCCAGGGGGCTGAGGCCATTCAGACCGACTGGTCTGTGGGCCCCCCAGGGGACAGCAGCGGAGATGCCTGCAGGGGCCGCACCAGGCCCGGCAGGAGAGCCCGCTGCCCCAGATCTTCCCACGGCTGCCTTCTCTTTCCTGTTCAGGCTTCAGCTCAGATGTCCTCTCCTCAGAGACGCTTCCTTGTGCTTCTTCATCACCTTTTCTTGGGTAGCGCTGTGTCCAGGGCCTTCTCCCCTCCTCTCCTGCCTGGGAGGGCAGAAGCCCTGTGTGCCACCCACGGCCACGCCCAGAGTCTGGCATCCAGAGTCTCTGCATATCAAGGAGTGAACCCTGATGGCCACTGCTGGCTCTGGAGCAGGATGGACAGAAGGACAGCAGCTGGTCCCAGCAAGGCAGGGGCCTTAGTGGGGCAGGAATGGGGTCTGGCAGAGTGCAGGCTGGGTCTGCCCCGATGACTTGCCACCAGTGACTCTCCCAGCCCAGGGAGCCCAGTGGGAGAGAGGCTCCCTGCTTGCCCAAGGCCGCTCTGGTCAGGGCGGCCCCTTGAAGGCGCTTCCTGGAAAGCACTTTAACCAGATCCTGTTTTCAAGTCAAGACCACTGTACACAGTGAAAAGCCTGACCAACCACCTGTGTGACAGAGGTGGAAGCAGGCCCAGAGAGGGGCCCGGCTGGCCTCTGGGCCAGAGAATAGAAGGAAGGGGGCCTTCCAGCCTCGCCTCGGGGGCCAGACCCGCACGCCCCAAACGGCACGCGGCGGCGTTCCCAAGGCCCAGAAGGTGCCATGTCAGGGGGACTGTACCTAGCTGAGGGTGAGTGAGGGTCAGTGTATGTCACTGATGGGCCCCAGCCTGCTCAGGGCCTCAGTTCCCCCATCTGTCAAATGGGACCGCGACGTCCTTCTTGGGAGGCTCTCCACGTCCCAGCCGGGGTCAGGGCCCGTGGGCCCACGGGGGCCTCTGTGACCTGCGTACGCCGCCTGGTCGGAGGCGTGCGGCCCACCCCAGAGCCGCCCCCACGACGGGCTGGGAGCCGACAGGCGAAAGGCAAGGGCCCAGCCCGCAGCCACTCCTGGCTGAGCTCTTGGAAAGGATCGCAGATGTGTTTATCACTGGCTCCCTCGCTCCTGCGCGAGGAGACAAGACTCAACCTGACCGCGGGCTCTGGGGCTTGTTGGCAGCTGGCTGGAGCGTAAAGGAGGGGGCAGGGAAATCAGGTGGGGTGTGCGCTCGAGGGGCAGAGGTGGCGGCAGACCCCAAGAGGGACACCCGGGGCCTGTGCCCTGGGCTGCTCCTGGGGCTGTCGGGAGCCCTCCAACTCACCTGGCACCTGGGGGGCCTGACAGCCTCCGGTTTGGGCCCCAGCCCAGGCGCAGCCAGGCACTCACCTGCAGATTGGGCCCGGGGGCTGGGAGGTGGGGGGCTTTCCCCTGCCCCTCCCTGCCTCATGCAGGCTCCAGCCAGAAGGGTCGGTGAGAGGGGAGAGTGAGGCTGCAAGCAGACGTCTGGGACGTGGCTGCAGAGTGCCAGTCCCTGCTGGAGGGTGAGGGTCACGGTATTTTTGAGTGGAAATCACAGGCTATTCGAGTGGGGATTATGGAACCTTAGCCTCAGGAAGGGGGTGCGAGTGGGAGGGAAGCCTCGGGCTGGAGTCTCTGGGTGGCAGGGTGCCCGCGGTGTGGTGTGGCCTCTCCAGCCTTCTGAGCAGCCGGGAGGCCGACTCACCGCCACCGGTGCTTTCGCAGCGCTCAGGCGGGGCAGAGGCTGCCGAGGGGGGCAAGAATTGTGATCCCGGAGTGCAGTCTTTTCTGACAGCACTGCAGAGTCAGGCACAGAGGTGCAGGAAGGAGTCAGCCAGGGAGCGGCCCACTCCCGACGTCTGCGGGCCTCTAGGGGTGGCGCGGCGGGGCTGAAGTTTGCCTAGGGCCCTCCAGGTGGGCAGGAGGGGGCCCAGCGTGCAAAAAACCTGACGTCCTAAAGAGTCATGGTGGGCAGGGCTCCGCGTGTCTGGAGAGAGGGCCAGTGAGCCGTGAGGCCCTGGATGCCAGGACCGTTCCCTCTGCCATGTTCCTGACGGTGCCTTGGTGGGGGCCTGTGGTGGGCAGCTCCCTGGCTCCCTCCATGGAGTGCAGAAGGCAGGGTGGCAGCGGGCGCCCATCCAGGGTGGCCGTGAGGGGCGCAGCTGCTTCGGAAGGAGGCGAGGTTGGGCCTGCCTTGGTTTGCATCTGGGCGGGGGGGTGGTGCTGCCACTCACTGGGCCCGGGGCAGGGGGAGGCCCAGCTGAGGAGAGGTGCCTGGGAGACCCCGTGGGCAGCAGGTGGAGATGCCCAGGGCCACTGGGTGCCCGGATCTTAGTTCTGGAGCGATCTTGGCGGCTACTGGTGGGAGGTGGAGACAGAGGCCCTGGCGTGTGGCAGGCGCAGCCCAGTGAGTAAGCCGGGGGCTGGGCACAGCTCTGGGGACCTGGTCGCCAGGGTTGGGGGCAGAAGCGGGGTGGCCCCATCGGGCGCCGTCCCCAGGGGGACGCAGGGAAGCAGGAGCGCGCTCTGACTCGGCCTGCCCTGCGCGGCCAGCTCTGGAGCCCGCCCTCCCGCCTCCGTGAGGACACGGCCTCTGGCGGGGGGGCGTGGGAGGCCTCGCTGCTGAGAGGCGCGGAGCTCCTGGGACCGTGGTGACTGAGCCCAAGAGGCAGCCCCGGGGCCGGGGGCCCAGCTGGGAGGGGGCTGGCCCCCACTGGAATGTGCTGCTTGCTCCGAGGGAGGTGAGCTCAGGGGGATGGAATTCCACCTGAGCGAGAAGTCACCTCCCAGTCCCTGCCCAGCCCCTTGCTCACGGAGGGTGCCGGTCTTGTCCCTTCCTGCCCTGCCCCGTCTGGTCTGGGTGCTCTTGGGAGCTGGTTCCCACTGTGCCCTGGCCACAGGAAGATCTGCAAGTCAGGGGCACCAGGGACCCGGCCCCTGGCAGTGGGCAGGGCCCAGATAAGCTCGCCCAGCTATGCTCTCCACCGCCCGAGGGCCACTTGCATATTTGACCGGATAGCGTGGTCAG